TCCTCTTCTTTCCTATTTGATGTTCATTCCTAGAAGTTAGGGTAGGTATTTATAAACCGAAGGAAATTGTAACTGCGAATACACAACGGTTCTTTATCGCGCAAGAAAATACTCTCTGCAATACGCATTGGATAAATGTTATGCCGGGTTCTTCAGAAACATTCAATATTTTATAACCATTGTATTAAAAAGACCGGAAACTCTGCCACCAAAGCTAAAGCATCTTCAATTATTGAATATAGAGATATTTACGAAAATATTGGTGTACGAAATTATCTTTAGCGTTGATTTTATGTGCGATTCTTTGTCATTATTACGTTCATTATTATTCTGTATATTACGTGTAGGGATGATTAAATGTAGGGATGAAGCAACCTATTTCTTGAAAGGGGATCGATGAAAGGAAAATGTAGCCTGGTTAAGATCTCCTAGGGGTAGATGAAATTTTATCGAGTCTATGACGATAAAAAGGTAAATAGTCTAATATGAATCGGGCGACGGTTTGGTATAATATTCTATTGATTACAAAAATATATTAAAGAATTGATTTGACGTTTTCGCATTTTTTATTTTAACTTCTGTTCATATACTTTGTCAACATATATTTAGGTAATTTATGTGAAATTTTTTTTACTTATGTTACATGCTCTATACTACAGAAAATAACTGAAGGAGGTCGATAAAGCACTCTTTTAAAAATGGGATGAATGGAAAAAAAAGGCTTGGGAATTGTTGGTACTAACACTTCAAAGCGTAGCCTATATTTGTGTCCACAGCATTACAGCACAGGTGATGGAAAATAGATTAAGTGGAGATCCGCGTTAAGTAGAGATCTGGGTCGCTAAGGCGTCCCTCCGTTTCCCTACTGCATCCCGCCGCAGAAGGAAGATCCGTTGACGGCTGCATACGGATACCCGGGAATTGAAAGGGGGAAGGAGGGTCACCACTACACGGCATTCAATGTTGAAAGGTTAAAAATGTTTTGGGTTATCTCAAAAGGAATGGAAACTAATTTTTATTTACGATAATGCGAGGAAAGAATTTGTATATTGTAAGAGTTGCCAGGTCACAATGTGTGGTCTCGTTTTATGTAATGCCCGGCTTAGCTTGGCACCTTCGGAGTATTATTTGTATGGCTATTCCACTCGTGATATTAAAAAATATAGTGTTTAATTATACATATAAAAAGCCACAATCAGGGAAGTGTATCTAAAAAAATGTATCTTATTTTCTATCTGAATGGTACCGCCCCTTCTACTGGTGAATAATAAGCTGTGACTCATCTATCTTAGGAGGCGGTATGTGCTATAACAAAAGCTCTTTGAATTTAACATGTTTCTGTTATTTTCAATATTTGGTGAATTTTGGAACTCTGATGTGCGTAATTTTAATCGTGGAATATTAAATACCACTCGTGCTTTGCAAAATGCAATGGAATTTTAAACGAAACTCTGTTACTTCCCTCGTCAATACTTCGGGATAAAAGTTGCATGGCAGAGGTCCCTAACTTCGGGGTACGGTTAAGTATTTGCCGCAATCATCGTGTAAAATTGGCTTAAGTGGCTCAGGACATCAATTGATGTCACCGCAATGCCTGTGACCAAGAGGTCCTGGGGTCCGAGACCGGACGTGGCAGGATTTTCGATACTAGGCTACTTAGATCGAGTTTGAGGTACTATAAAGCGTAAGGATAGGACAAAGAAAAAGGAAAGATTTCGCACGATCTGTGTTGGTTAGGGTACACCTTCGGCATTCGCCTGGTATTGTACGGAGAAACCACAGAAGAACTACCGGGCAGAGCAGGTGGCGGCTAGAATTTTCCTGTAGACAGCGGCTAAATTCGTGCCAGTGTCGGAAATGCTGCCACGTTCGGGACTCGGAGCCTTCGACCACCCGGTCAGAGCCCCTGCAGTGACATCAGTTGATGTCCTGAGCCATCTTTTCCCGTTTTTGTTGCTGTGAAAGTCTGTTATTTCTCATAACAAGATGCAGTTGACGGGAAGTTGATGACGTGTTTGTGACTGACTAATTGAGACGTTGCAGTTGTACGTTGAATTAGTGTAGAGCTTCTCAGTCCCACGGATTGAGTTTAATTCAATTGTATTCATTATTTGTTAAAGATATTAATAGGGATAACTTGTAGGTTTTTAAAGAAGTTGATGAAAGTTAAGAACCTGTAAAAAGTCTTGTAACTAAATCGTTATTTTTTTGCTGTCGAGAAAGCCGGTCCTTCTTCCAAGGAAGAAGCTGTCGACGGGAAGTTGATGACGTGTCTGCGACTGACGATTGAGGCGTTCCGTTGTGCAGGGACGGCGTTGGGCACCGTCGGGTCGACGCTGCTGACGGGCTACCTGACGGCGTACATGGGCTGGGAGTGGGTGTTCTACCTGATGGCGCTGCTGGCCGCGCCGTGGTGCGTCTTCTGGATGCTGTGGGTGAGCGACAGCCCCGACTCGGCCCGCTTCATCTCGCAGCAGGAGCGCGACTACATCGCCGCCGCCAAGGGGGACTCCGTGCACGGAAAGGTGAGCTCGCTGGTCATCATGCTTTCCTTCATTGACAGCTATCCTTGGGATTTTATTTATTGGCGTGTGACAGCCCGACGTTACGATCTCGCGGCATTTTGCGTCTTTCTCGCTCGTGCCGCTAGATGTCGCATGAGCACTACTCTATACGGTCGCGATCGAGCGACATCTAGCGGCACGACCTTGAAGACGCGAAATGCCGTGAGATATTCCATCGTGAAGACCGGCCCTTCCGCGCCAAAAAATAAAAACTCAAGTAAATACTTTGATTTATTTATAAAGGCGCCTCAAGGTCACGAGCTGGAAGGAATGGAGGGACATTGCAATCCAATCGGTAACTCGAATACCACACATTTTTAACGAAGCTCATGATTGAATGACAGTCCCTTTCAGTCCAGATCGTGGCCTTGAGGCACCACACATGCATAAATAATTAGTTTAAATAAAAGAGTTTGGTCAAAATTAGAACAGAAGATACAGCATTAGCGCTCAGTATACAGTTTTTGAATAACAACTTCGTGCAACCCTAATTTCAATTACCTTTTTTTATTTTAAACAATTAATTAAGAAATACGGGTATATTAACAACTGTAGTGATAAACGAACTGTTATTTACATACATAAATCATTTTCTACACTCTTAATTATTTACGAAAAAGGTATCTAAAAACTGTTCTGAAACTGGTTGGGAAGCTATTAATTTTGTTTATTCGCCCTGAAAAATAGTGTGTCCTTCACTTCTTTCGTATTTTGAATAAAAGTGGGTAAACAGAAAAATTCACTCTTAGATAAATTCAGTAAGTATCACTTAGTGTGTTTTTCTCCACAGAGACTGCCGTTTCCTACTCGCCAAGTGCTGTCTTCTCTTCCCTTCTGGGCCATCCTGGTCGCTCATTTCTGCAGCAATTGCGGCTGGTACATGATCCTGACAGAGCTGCCCAGCTTTATGAAGCATGTCCTGCACAAGAACATTAAGGAGGTGAGTGGGGGACTGGTATCTACGAGTTATTAAACTTGGAATGCTGGTCCTTATGTTGACATATATTAACGGGCGATGGTAGTGGACGTGTAACTCGGATAAGTAATGAACTCTTGACAGTTGATACACTTAAGGTACCAGGTCTGTTGCTGCCGTTCCAAATTTGTATATGTTGCAATAATCATTCAAGTTGCCACCTGTATTTGAAATTTGGAAACTGGAATAAGACGTTAAGTCGTTACCTCTGTCCCCAATCCCCATCCCATCATATTACGTGGTTCAAAAGACTTACATGCGGTCCATTGATCGGAGAAATAAGTACGTGTTTCATGAAACATGCCAAAACAAAACAAAACAAACAAACAAAAAAAGGTTTTACCAACCAACCAATAGTGGGGTCAGCGGGACACTATGCGCACCCGCCACGCATACCATTGGACCTTGCTATTATCGGCGCACGTTTTCTTGAGCCCTCATTTCACTAATTGCGAGGGGGGGGTTGTTTCTGTCGACAACAGGACTATTGTGTGAAATCTGTAGCTTGTTTTTCGATACAAAATAGTTTCTATTTCTATTACACAGGAGGAAATATTTCTGGCTATAAGATTTTTTCAATTACGCTCGTTGCTATCCTTCTTTCTTAATTCACGAAGTGTAGGGAAGAGGTAGTTTTTTAAGGACTCAACAAAACATGCGCGTAAATTAGGCCACTTCACAACTAACCATACTAATTATTGTATTACTGACATTTGTACAACTTTTGAAATGGCTAGAATGTTTTCATATTAATTATTTCAAAGATTGCCGCCGTTTTCTTTTGCCCGTTTACTTTTATGAAATGTAAAACTTCTCGCTTTAAAACATGTATAATTAATGAACAGATAACTTTTATTTATTAAACATATTAACTTGGGTAACTTGTGTCAACCCACTGTCATGCATATCGGTTTGATCTGGTCAGTATGCAACACAAGGCCTTGTGTTTTGAGCTGAGAGAGAGAGTGAATGATTGAGCTCGCGTCCCGAGGTGTGTACAAGTGAGTCAGAGGCGGATCCAGGCGATCATTTTGGAGGTGGCCATTATAGGTTTTGTTAAATTATAAACATTTGTTATTATATTATATTGTATTTTATTTTTAAAGTGTTTATATACTCTACTATACAACATTGTTTTTTTTAATGATAACATTATTCTAACGTATATAAATATTTAAATCAATATTGCCAAATCAATCACGGTAACAAACGAAAACTCAAGGCCTTTTTGGGGGGAAGGGGCATGGCCCCCCTTGCCCCCTCCTCCCTGGATGCGCCACTGGTGTGAGGAGGCAGAATGGCATATCGCGCTTGGTTTGCTTTTCAGAACGCAGGCATCGCCGCCATCCCATACTTCCTGATGTGGGTGGTGAGCGTGGTCTTAGCGACGGCTCTAGATCGCCTGCGCACCAGGGGATCCATCACCACGAGCACCGCCAGGAAGATCGCCACGGGCATCGGTGAGTTAGAGAAGACAAAAAATATGTAACCTAACAAATAGACTAAAAAGTTGCAGATGAATAATAAAATCATGTGATAATAAATTAAAAAATCGTATTACACAAGTAAAAAAATCAATAAATTAAAGCATAAATAGATAACATATTTGTAGCCGTTGTAAGCATTATCTTAAAAATTATACTTAATGATTAATGTTTCAGCATCTGTGATACCAGCAGCTTGTCTGGTAGGAATCAGCTTCATAAAATGTGATGCAGATGCAGGCACTGCGCTCATTATTGTTGCCGTAACTTCCATTGGAGGAATGTTTGTTGGATTTTTGGCAAATCACATAGATATTGCACCAAATTTTGCAGGTATGTTTTCCTTTCAAGATTACACGAGTTCAGAATAAGCCAACAATCAGTTGATACATTGTTTTAGGAAATATAATTGTAGTAAATTCAATAATTCAATTTTTCTTCAACTTTTTTTTTTCTTCCGCAGGCATGCTCATGGCTATTACCAACACAATTGCGACATTGCCAGGAATATTTGTGCCTATGATAGTTGGACACTTAACCACAGGACATGTAAGTAATATCACACAGATATTTATATTTGTTTGTATTTTAACATGACCAATTTAACACCTGTGGGCACTGTATGACTTCCAGTGAATGTCAATTAGTTTGGCTGGCGTTGGTCCAGGAAATATGAATTTCGGGGACAATAAATTTAATAAATCATGGATCATATTGTTAACATTAATATTCTCAAAATTTACAGACCCACTTCAAGGGGTGACAAAAAACTATACTTTCATCTAACTTAGTTACTATCTTATTGTGTTGGAAGGACAAACAGTCACTATTTTTCAAAAATTTCCTTATCTTTTTTCACATACACCACACTGTTTCTATTAACACACACAAATTCTACAATTATTGGTTTGTACACCTCTACATTGATGCCCATTCATCTAATTAAGAATAATTCGAAAGCTTCCCTTAGGTATGAAATAAGTTAATGTAAGCATGAATAAAGGTCTAAACCTGAAACCCAAAATGTCACTCAATAATATTATAATTATATAATATAATGATTGATATGGAAGGATTTGTTTCGTTATTTGAGAATTGTTAAAATAAATTATGATTTAAGGATGATGATAAGATGAACATGATGCCAAATAAAAATGACAAATAGCTGGCCTGGATAGCTGAGGTTGCTAAGTTTGAGAGACTATAGCTTCCTTGGCTTAAAGGGTCAAGAGTTCAAATTGTCTCCCAGGCATGGATATTTTCTGGGTGTCCATATGCATGTTCTGCTACTATAACCCACAGTTATATAACCAATGTGAATTTACAGTGGTTACTACATTTTATAATTTACAGTGGTGAATTTACAGTTTTTATAGCAACAAATTTGAAGATTAGGAAGTTATTATCATTGTCATATTGCTTTAGTTCATCCATTTATTATTTTTGAGATTTGATTTCTCATTTTTTACTTTCACAGCAAACATTAGCACAATGGAGTATTGCCTTTTACACAATAGCTGCTCTCTATGCTATCATGATTATCTTCTATGCATTGTGTGGCTCTGGAGAAGTTCAATCTTGGAACAACCCAAAAGCAGAGGATGAAGAGGAAAAATACAACATTGAAGACAAATAATTTTGTCAGAAAATGCTGTAAGTGACTTGTATCTATTATGTTGAGTAGATGGGGTCAGATTGGTGTTGGATAGAAATGAGTAAAGCTACTCGTAACATCGTGGAAGAAGAATGTTATTATCAAGGAAAAGTTGGATAAAGCTGCAAAAAGTTTTATTGTTGATGTACTTCAGATTTTCTTCCATGCAAATAATAATTCTTGGTTATTATTTGGCTGTTGTGAGACAAATTTGATATGGAAATTTGTTGATGAACATTCAAGACTTCATAGTTTCATAGTTTCAAGATACACTTCATAGTTTCATCAAGCTGGTTGATACTGAAAGGGTGCATCCTTGTTCGTGCGAGAATTTGAATCAAGAAAGCATCTTTTTATCTTATTTAACAGCTTTCATTATGCATTTAAATCATTTTCGTTATTGTCATTGTTAATTTTTAAAAGATTTTCATTGTTGTTCTCCATATATCGTGGCAGTGGACATCTGGCAATTTTAAGGATTTTTGAATCTATGAACGTAAGTGATTTATCTTTTTAAATGGCCGTCAAACTCATTTTTAAGTGGGAATTTCTGTGAGTGAGAAAGTAGTTATATTGTGATTAACTTTGATTTAGGGACACCAGTAATTGCTTAAAAAGCATTTTCTACAGTTGTAGTTAAGGTTTAGTTCAAAGAATTTATGTGCAAGATGTTACAAAACTTTAAATACAATTTCTTGAGATTCTAGATATGGATGTCATATTGTCAGATTCTGGATGTGGATGAAATATTGTAATATGTGAGATCATGTGTTGTTTAGAAATGTTAAAGGTACAAATGTATAATAATGATAAAACCCACATACAAAGATTTCTATTTTTATTAAAATATCAGTGAACTTCTGGCTTAATTTATGGAATCTACATAAAAGTATTTACAGAACTTTTATCATACATTTTAGGTTTTAAGTCTGTGAAATGCAATTTACTTCCCTCAACTTCTTTTATTCTTGTTTTCTTTATGTAATATTGAAATGAAATTTTATGCCTTACATTCAATTCAATCAATACATTCAATGTAATAAGTATAATTTGTAAATGTTTTTTGTTTCACATTCTTTCTAAAAGTCATTTTCAAAATTATTTAATTTTGTAGACAGTTGATAAATATTTTTTGTAGGTGAACATTTTTTCATATGAATAATGAATTCTTATGAATGATTCTTAAATAATTTTGTATGTTAAAGTCAAAGGCTTTGTTTAAAATTGCACGTACGTAAGAAAGCTACCAGATTTTATTTGCTCATAAACTCTGTTATAATTGATCCTGTTTGATCATTGATGCAGCTAATAGTTGTTTATGTAGTTGAATGTGTACAGTAGTATACCCTAATTGTTTATTCTATTATCCACAAGAATTAATTACATTGAAAATACAGAAGTAAAATTTCAAGCAAATTATTTGTGCTTCAATTCAATATACTTATTTTGGGTAACTTAAAAATGAGAATAGTCTTCTTCATTATCTTTGAAAATTTAACTAGTTTATTTAAGAACCGTGGTTTTTATGATGCTCTTATGAAAAAACATTGTTTCATAATACTGCATTTTCTTGTTGATTGGGTTTCGTGTATAATACATTATTCCCTACTTTCTGTAGTGAATATATTAATCAAATGTTTTATCAAATATATTGCCAGTTCATATATATATATATATATAGTAATATATATAATATATATATATATATATATAATGTATATAATTAATTATATATATGTATAATATATGTATATAATGTATATATATGTATTATATGTAATATATTTTATATATATTATATATTATGTATAATATGTATATAATGTAATATATAGTATATATATTATTATATATGTATATATATGTATATATATGATTATATGTATAATATGTTATATACTATGGTATATTATATGTATATATATTAATATATGTATTATATATGTAATTATATTATATATATGTATATAGATATGTAATATATATGTATATATATATGATATATATATTATATATATAGATTATTATATATTATATATATATGATATATATATGTATATATATATGTATATATATATATATATATAGTATATAATATGTATAATATATATGTATATATATATTATAATATATGTATATATATGGTATATAATATGTATAATATATATTTATATATATATGTATAATATATTATATATATATGATATATATATTATATATAATGTATATATATATGTATAATATATTATATTATATATATAATATATGTATATATATATGTGTATATATATGTGTATATATATGTGTATATATATGTGTATATATGTATGTATATATGTGTATATATGTATATGTATATATGTCATAGAAATATCATATATGTCATATATATTAATGTCATAGAAATTCTGTATCTGAAATGAGGCCAAAGAATACTCATTTTAATTTTATAGTTCATCAAAAATTCATTCTCTTTCACAGTGTACATCCATCAATAATAATTTTATGTAGATTATGAATAATAGATAAAAAGTAAGTTTCAAATGATTATAATAATTAAGGCTGTTGTTATTTTATGTACTTATTACAGGATAATGAAAATATTTTTCATTAAAGATAACATTTTTTTAATTTTTTTTTTTTTTTTAAATTAGCAAACTGCACATTCTATTAAGAGCAAAGGCCTCCTGCTTGAGCACAGAATCATTAATACTTCTTTAATGAAGTGATAGGATGACAATGAAGGGAGAAAGGGCTACCACAAATACATCCTGCCAGAGGCGGGATTTGAATCCAAGATCACTACAACACACTGCCTTAGCAATCTCGGCTACCCTCATTGGCCAAAGATAACATTACTTGTAAATAATATTGCCCTTGCATACATCTTTCACTTCAAATTCTGTTTTTTTGTATAAAAGTTTCTTTTCATTCTCCTTTTGTGAGATAACAGAGGTTATGTTTGGGTGGGGCACCAAGTGTTAGTGCAGCAGTTGCCAGCTCAATGCTCTGCAACATCATATACACCTTTTCTCCTGGTCTGCGTTGAGCTGTGGAGCAAAGCAAGCCCTTTGGCATGATGTCGAGCACACAATGTGAGGCAGTGGGCAAACTTAAGTTCTTAGAGTTCTATTTGAAACTATAGATTCATTTTTTGAAATGACAGTTATTATTGAAAATTGTAATTAAAAAGTGGTAATGCAACAAACTGTGCAAGTTGAGGAGCTGAAGGATGGTCCAACTTTATCTGCACAACTGTATAAAATGTAATGGCAAGATATCTGAGATAATTTGCTGCAATGAATCAATTTCATTTCTAACAAGAGTTTCAGAAAATGTGATGCATAGAAAAAAACTTAGAAGTGCAAAAGGGCAAAGTTCATTGATAGATTATTTTTTAAATAGATGATAAAATGAGATTTCAGAAATAGAACATTAATCTATTCAGAGATTGGAACATGTCAAAAAATGGAATCAATATCTTCAGTGAAAATATCATTAGTAGGATTTATCAGAAACTATAAATTACAAATCACATTTTCCAATGCCATAAGAAGCAGCAAATTTTCTTTTGACCCAAATACTTTAATCAAATCTCTTTACACAGAAATGGGTTGAATGGCAAAGGTGTAATTCACTGATGATTAGGAATAATATAATTACTGACATCTGTATGGCAAAGAATAGAACCATCAAACACTACTGTTAAGCAGATGTTCCTTATATAGTAGTTAGAGAAATAAAGGCATCTCATGTGCAGAGAGGAAGTTAACATTAATGCCATCACAGAGTTGTACGAGATTTAACAGAAGAAATGTCTACAGTAAGGAGGAGCTTTTAAGATTGTTGAGAGGAACAAGTTAATTGGAACGGTAAAGGCAAAAGAAAATTGAAGTTAATCTTCAAATATCATCTAACTTGGAAGACTGATAGCTGAGCTCTATTATGAAACAATTTAACCAATTTTCTCTGACTAATCATTTTTTAAATACAAATACAAAATAATTTCAGCTGGTTAATGATAATTCATGAAAGAATTCATGATCATTCAAAATTTCAGAGAAAAGGCTATTCTTAAAACATTGGAATGTAATATCTCCAGTAGCTCCTTAGAATTAAGGATGTAATCAGTAATGCAAGCAGATAATAAGGTTATGAATGCACCATTAAGTGTTTGTAAAACAGAATTTGCCAAAAAATTGGTACACATAATTTTTATTTGCAAGTTATGGATCCTTTGTCAATTCATCTTATGTCTGGGCTCATGTTTTCAAGTTGGCCTTTCACTGAAACCTATCCCTACCTCTGGTTTACAGATTCTTGTAAGTAGATGTACTCTTTAGAGCTTGGATTCACACTTTCTCTCCTGGATGTTAATCACAGTTTTTGATTATATTTGTATAAACTATCTGTTGTTCATTCACATTAAGGAATAAGTCCCACCTTGATTAAAGATAGTTTGTTAAAACAGTTTATTTGGGAAAAATTGGGATAAAAAAAGGAAAATTCAAACATTAAATAATTAACATGTTATAATTATTGGTACCACACATTTATGAATGGGAACATGAAATTAGAATTGCTTTTTCTATAATATTAAGGGATTTTTGTTTAGACATTTTGAACACTCTTCTTAAGCACAAAAAGCAAACTCAATCCACACTGAACTGATGAACTAACATCATAGAGTGAGGCCATTTGGTGAACTCATTCTCCTGTTTGAAAACAGCCCACAGTAAAGGATAAAAGAAGTGAGTTACCTTCATGAGAATGCTGGGAACTGGAAGACTAGAAAATAGAAATAGTTATAAATGTATAATATAATTTAATAATTATTTCCGAGGTACTGAAATGCTGTTCTTTTGTGTTCTTCCAGAAATAGTTCAAATTTCGGGCCTCTCTGAAATAGGAGAGGAGGGAATAGAACCATGTGAAATGCAGAAAAAAAACCATTGGGATGTCATTGAATTCGGGAATTTACTGGAAAAAAGGTCCTTATATCTAAAGTTAATGCATTTTTACCGAGGGTGTTGACCATGACAAGGCACATGCGAAATGCACAATGATCTTGGACAACATGGATGCAAGGGACTTTCATTTCTGACTAATAATCTTTCACAGGCCACAATGAATGGCACCATGGACCAATTGGACTATAACCATAACTTGCTATATAAACAATCAACCTCTGCAGCACTTGCAACAGGTTTTTTTTTGTTCAATGGTAGAAATAAATGTATAAAACCTCAACAACATATGTTTTATAAAGGGAGTTTTATTATAAAAACATTATTTATCTCACCATGATATTACTATCTTTAATAGAAGGTGAAATTCTTGATTTTTTTTTGTTTGCATGTCATTGCAAAATAAATTAGTATGGTAGTGTTATGTGATAAGGAAATTCTTATAGTAGGTGATGAGATGAATGATTGATTGATTAGTGATTCCGGTGTTGCGACTGCTAAGGTCATTAGTCTCATAAGTGTAGTACACGTTTCCCCCTCGGGCATTGGTACTGATCTACCCCACTAGAAGTGAGATTTGGCGCTGACCTACCATCATCCAGCAGAGTTTTCCTCTACCACATGTCTCCCACCAGTGGGGCACCACCCCAATTGGGACAAGTTCTAAGCTCCCAACCGGTCTCCTGGCAAGTGTGTAAAAGAAGTAAATGCTAGTGCAAGTGTGTGTAAGTAAGAGGGGGTGAGGATAGGACAAGGAAAAAGAAGGAAAGATCGTCCTTAGTCCATGGCCCATTTGTTAGGGTACTGCTCCAACATTTACCTAGTGTCGATCAGAGAAATCATGGAATATTACTGATCAGAGCAGTCAGTGGCTAGAAGTAGATATTGTCCTACAGACAGCAACAGAACTTGACCTAGCTATCTAGGTAGTGTCAAAAACCTGCCACCGGCTGCTCTCAAAGCTAGGACCTCCTGATCACAGACACTGCAGTGACATTGATGACCTGGGCCACCTCTCCTGGTTTGAGACAAAGTACCTTATTATAACTGTACTGAAAAAGAAATGAAACTTTTCTTTGTGAATTAAGTACTAGAAAAGTCGCAAGGCTCTAAAAAAAATTGTAGATGTCCAGTCAGTGTTTGAGTTGGGATATTGGAGAATGTAGGCTAATAAATTATACTCTTAATGGCATGTCTTTTTTCATAAATATGAAACTTTTATAAAATATACATATTATCACTGATAAACACAGTAAAATTTATAATATCATTGATAAGCACAGTAAAATTTATAAAAGTTCAATAATCAAGAAAAGCATCAGAAAATAAAATTTCTCATCAACAAAAACAAGAAAATTCAATTTTTCAAAATAGGAAGGTTTGCATGCATAATGACATTTTTATAGGAATTAAAAAACAAAACATGGGATCTTAACAATAAAATATAAATGATGAAATACTAAAAAAAATACTAATACTAGTACTAAGAAAAAGAAAAAACTAAGATTAAAAAATGTATTGAAATGAAATTTTTAAGGGGAATAAAAGATTGTACTTAGTTAGATAAACAAGGAAATGAAGATATAAAAAAATAATTAAATATATTTAGCTTAAATTTTTCTATACAACTATATAAAAAATATGGAAAAAACATTTAGAAAGAATGGAGCACAAAAGGCTACGGTAAGAAGTGCTGCATTACAACCCAACAGGAAGAAGTGTAGGAAGACCATGTAGAAGATGGTTTGATATGTGATGATGGAGCAGTCTTATCCTTGAAGTGCAGAAGAAGAAGTAGTAGTAGTTCAAACACTTTTAATACTCTTCTTAAGCACGCAAATTAAACTGAACTTGCACTGAATTGACAAACTTACATCATTGAATAAGATGTGTCAGAAACCACAGAACATTACTGAGTACCGAACGTAATTGACTGATGAATGTCCACTTGCCTTTTCCTGTGGGCACACAAGCATTTTCTTTCAGCAGGCCCAAATACCTCAAAAGAGTACCTGCAGGTATATGCTCCTGCCTGTGAACAACATCTTGAACAATAACTACCCTGAACTGTGTGAATCAGATCTTAACGTATAGTCTGAAAGCTGGACAATCGGAATGATTGCTATTTGACAAAATTACAATATGATTAAAAATTGTAATGTCTTTGATTCTATTTCTTGTTCTATTTTCCAAGTAAATTGTTTTATGAGTCTGTAGCCACCTCAACCCAATAAATGTTGAACAGGGCCCCTAGTTGTCTTTAGCTAAATTTTATATTAGTTAATGATTATGTACATAAAAATGGCAGTTTCCATACATTTTGATTACCTAAAATCTTGTTGCGAGTCTGAAAATTCTAAGTTTTTCCTGAGAAAGTTTCCATTTGCAGGTAGAAAAGCCTGTGTAATATTTTTGTTTAAACTAACAAACAACAAATTAGCCGATAATTTTGAATTTCATTTTTGTTCATGTTTTGTTTTTGAATTTCATTCTTTTTAAAAATGGCTTAATATTTGCTGTTTTGAAAACATCTGACAATATTCCTATGAAGCATTGAAAATGAGAGTTAACTGGTGAATAAAGGCAGATGAACACGTTTTTAATAGACAAACCGCAAATTCATAAAACCAGACGAATATTTATTTTTTAGTATACTGACTATTCTGAGGATTTCACATCATGATTACACATGATGGATGTAAATGATGTATGGAGGTTTTGTAATGAGTGAAAGAAATTAGAGCTTTTTCTTAAATCATTTGCTTACCCTGTATCCGTACACCCTCTGCAGCACTTGAAATATGTGTTATACACTTTTCTGCAACTGGATACAAGGCTCCTCATTTTCATGATAACAAGATAGGTTTGTTGGCAAAGAGCATTTTAATAGATTAGAGAATAACAAAATACTTGTATGGTTTGCAGAATCTACTTCTTTTTGACAATCTACTTATATTATTGTCATATTTGTTTTGTCTGTATTTTACTCGAGAGATGTTTATTATGAAATCTATATTCTTACATAATACAGCAATACTATTTTCTAGAAATGGAATTACTAAAAAGTGAACAATGTTTTTTGCTTGTATATTATTACAAAAGAAAGGAGTATCTGTTTACTGTAATTTTTTTAATATGAAAATTGTAATAAAATTCAATGAAACAAAAGACCTTATGAACTGAAAAATTAATTTCACAGTAAAAAAATAAGGTACCCAATGTCTTTGTTGGGATATTGAAAAATATTGGTTAATAAAACGCATATATTCATATTATTTATCATTAAAAATGAAATATTTAATAAAATACAAAAAATATCACAAATAGTTATAATATCACAAATAGTTACAATATCACAAATAGTTACAATATCACAAATAGTTACAATATCACAAATGGACACGTTATCAATTTAAAACATTATTCATTTTTTTCTTGATATTTTAGTTAAATTAGTACAATATGTTTACTTAAATACATAAGCAGCAATAAAAATATAATTGCTCTTGTCAAAAACAAAAATATACTATTTAACAAAACAGGGATAGTTTGCATAAATTTCAATACTATCTTCCCTTCTTCACGGTGGCATTAGGTCACTATTTTTCATGTGTTTCTCAGTCGTGCTGCTAGATATAGCATGTACGTGACTGTAAAGCAGTGCTACATACAGTCATGATCATGCAAGATCTAGCGGCATGACCAAGAAAGATTTGTGACGTAATGCTATTGTGAAGTAGGGTCTTGAGGGGCAGAGTTAGAACAAACACAGTATAATCAGAAATAAGAAAGTAGATTTTAACAATACAATACAAATGTAATAATACTATACTATGTATTATTCGGAAAAATATGACTTCAATCTTCTCACGGATTCTGAGGGCGTTGTATATGCTTCAGCAGTGTCAAATACCGTGCAGGGATATCAGCTCCTGCCTGTGAACAACATTAAGTATTATCTTTCCCGAACTCTATGAATTGGTTCGTAAAACATAGTCTGAATACTGGGACAATGAGAACTATTGTCATTTGCCAAAATTATAATATGATTGGAAATTGTAATGTCTTTGATGGAACATTTTGTTCTTCATTGTTCTATTTTCCAATAGGTTGTTTTCTGAACCTATGTCCCCCCTTACCAGGTGCTGAACAGGCCTCCTGGTTATTTTCAGCCAAATTTTATATTAGTTTATAATTATGTAAAAATATATTAATATTAATTTTTTAATTGCAAAAGTCAGTTTACTATTAAATTAATTTCTATTGCATTCACAGGAGTTAATATTTAAATATGTTTAAGGGAGTCACATAGTTTTGTCATTTATGGGGCTCTTCTAGACTTAGCCGTGTAGCCTCTGCATTAAATTTGCTTCATAACACATGTGCTCATGCTGGTATGTTCAAGGAGAGTTATTGGAAGTATTTGTTAGCATATTGAAAACTGTGTTATGAATAACATAACTGCAAACTGTATTATGATAAACAATTAACACATTGTTGAGCACATAAAGTTAACTCTGTGGTATATGTAGTACAGTAGTACATACAATATTTTAGTGATTCAAGATTATAAAACTGCATTATGTATTAAGATAATCTGAAGAGAATAAAAGCATTCAAGAGATGAAGGATTGTTTAAAGTTAAATGTTCAAATAATAATGGAGTTGAAAGAGAGAGAATGTTCTAGCCCGTTCCATCTTATCCTGTTTTCGGAAATGTATTTTTGTCAATTTGAGATAGTATCTTCCGAGCGGGACTGAAGGAGTTTGAAGCTAATTTGATTTGGAAACACAATAAGTAGGGAAGACAGTTGTTGTATCTCAATTAGAGGTTACTTTGGATCTCCTCTATTTTTTAGTGTCTGTTGCTAACTAGTGGAGTATTATTTTAATTGTTTTTCAATTCCTCAGATGGATTCAGAAATATGTATTCTCAGGACATCTCACGATAAAACTTGTTAAAATTTTTATTAATTTATTAACAAACTAAAATAAAATTTAAGAATTGAATAAAGGAACATACAAATTGTATCATAGTGTAGTAAACAAAATAATATTAGTATCAGGATGAAATAATTGTTACTTCCTTATTGTAGCAGTATGAATTTAAGGTTGAAATAAATATAAAGCTGAATCGTCAATTACTTATCAGAGACACAAAATGTGTGGAGAGAGAAGCTTGTTATGTGGCAAATAGAGCGTAGTATCTTGTCGTGCTTAATTTTTTTTAAACTAACGCAAAGCAAAAGGAATTCAATATAATAAAATTTATAAATTTAATGTAGTTCATGGCATTTCATGCTGATATGTCATATCACTGAAAAGAACATTTTGGAGTCCTGTTTTCCTGTCAAAAGATACGGGACTGGAACTGGAAAATACCTTCACTATCACCTTCTCAAAGAGTGAGCATTGGTGGTGCAGGTCTGTTCATAAATTACGTAATGCAAATTTGGAGTATTTTGGATACCCCCTTTCCCTCCTGTTACACACCTGTAGTGTTATTTGTGTTGTATATTAAAATTTACGATCTTTAAAGTGGGAATTAGTTGCCGATGCTGTCAGCTCTTAAAATGAGGGG